TCTGGCGGAGTCGTCCTCTCCTCGCATCTCTTGCTGCTTTCCCCACGTACTTTTTGGTCTGCGTCCCTGTCAGACAACAGGTATTCTCGTGGGCGCGCAGAACTTGGCCATGAAAGTACACTCGGCTTGGTCAGGCTCTTGTGCTCGTCGAGTCAGGCTGACGGACACTTCCTTCAGCCAGGCTCGAAGAGGCTCTGCCTTCCGCTCATATGCGTGTTCATGCTTCCTCCCGGACCTTATTATTACTATTATTGTCCTTAATTATTATTGTTATTATTGTTATTATTATCAATATTATTACTATTGTATACATTATTGCATCATTATTGTTATCAACACTATCATTTCAAATATTATTATTATTACTCTTATTATTATCATTATCATTATTATTATTATTATTATTCTCATATAATTATTATCATTACTATTAGTATTGGTGTATGTAGCGATAATATCTTCAGTACCACAGTATTATTATTTCTTAACAATATTCTATTACTAGTAGTATTGTTATTATTATGTTCTTATCATTATTTTCTCATTGGTTTATTATTAATTATAAAAGTCCCGAGACATACCGCTGTTGCCACTAAAACTGGAGAATCGAAATGCAAATCTGGGCGTTTAGATTGCTAACTCAAATTTCATTTCACACCGCCTCCCTCAACAAAATAGATTAGTTACCCCTATCTTTTGATTTTTTTCAGAGAAAACGGTCATGTTTCGTTGGACTCAAGAAACCGATACTTTTTAGGGGACACTCTTCTTACTGTTAAATTTCTCTAGTCTCAATGAAAGTAAAATCGAGATGACTAAGATCACACTGTTATCTTGAGATTACTTATGTAACTCCCGCTCATTGATAGAATATATCATCATAAATATTTCATCGTCATTATCAAGGTGATGGTTTGGATAATTGTTCAATTAATGAAAGGTACTAGTTTATGGGAATAATATATGTTTTATATCAAACGCATCGAGCCTTTTAAAAAAATAATAGCTTTAGTAAACAACAAATAACTCATAAAGAAAAATGGTGTGCTTATAAATGGAAACTATATCATTAATGCCATTAATTGCCAATGTAATTATATTCATAATGATGTTTATTATCAGCTTTGATACACGTTATACCATCAAGATACAGACTTGATTTTGAGAATAAGATTGGTACTGATATGATACTAAACAGGATATGCTAATGATATAATGATGATGAGATATCATAAATAATAATACCGCTAATAAGGATTACTCATCTCATAATATAGTTATCAACATAATGACATTACATTATGATGCTAACACTAATGATGAAACAGTAATGATACTAATAATACTGAGAAGAGCATTATGACATATACTAAGAATGATAGATTAACGGTACAGTCGTAATAATAGTAATGATAATGATAGCGATAAAAAATGTATATGATCGCGATAATAAATACTGAGGATAATTATACTGTATATAATTATACTTATGATAATGATGATGGTCATCTATTACCCTCATCATCACCATTATTCCTTCATCACCTCAGCATCAGTATCACCAGCATCATCATGGGGATGGTGGATAGAAAGGTAATGATAAGGATAGTATGATAAAAGTAGTTATAGCTCTTGGTGCCACTAATCATTTAGCGTTTTTCCTCCTTTTCATCCACATTATCATTAAGGGGGGGGGGTGTAATTATCATTATCCCAATTATCATTAGCATTACCATTATTAATTAATATCATATATATATATAGTTATATATTATATTATATATATATATATATATACTATATATATATATATATAGGTATTATGTATTAATGCTTTCATGCTCTTAATAAGATTATGATAATAACGTTGATACCAATCAAAGAGATAATATCATGCGGGGGGTTTAGAAATTGTAGGTCTAATAATGACACGGGGAAATAAAATAACAGTATTAGTTGATATTGAGAAATAATAATTAAACATAATAATATTGGTTTCATAATGATAATAATGATAATGAATGATGATAATCATTGTAATAACAATAATGAGGAAAAAGGGAGAGTGATAACATGATAATGTTAAATAACAAGAATGAGAAGAGAGCGATGGACAAAACCGGGTTGGTGGGTCGTGAATAATAACAACGACAATAAGAATAAGAACTCAGAATTCAATGATAATGATAGAATAATAATGATAATAACTATGACGCAAAATGATAACCAACAGCACAAAAAAACAAGAACAAGAAAAATGTATAGGATAATGATAATGATGATAATAATAATTATAATATCAGAACATAATGAAAAATTATGTATGGTAAAAGCTAAACCGATAATATAATGTAGTATTAGCGGTAATAAGACAACTCATAACAATAATAATAATTAACTTTTATAATAATGAAATTCATAATGTTTATAATGATAATGATACTAATAAAGAAAATACTAAATGAAAATGACAATAGTTTTACCATGATACTGGTTATCGGTAATAATAATGATAATAAAAACAATAATTACAATAACAATACAATAAAATAATTATGGTTTATTTCCTTATGAAATATGATGATAATGATAATATTATTCGACAAAAATCACGAAATAATAAAAATTAATGATCTGAGATTAATGGTAGTAACAATAGCAATTAAACAAATAAAGCAATACAATGATAAATGAAAATAATAACGAATATACAAGAACATTAATTATGATATGCTGAGAAGAATGGTAAGACAACTATGATTTTAAGAATAATAACCATAAGATAAATAATAACAATAATAATAAAACACTACAAATGATGATAAGAATAATGACAATAATAATGCTAATCATATAATCAATAATAACAATAATGATAATATTATAATGATATCAGTGGTAATGATGATGACCCGATAATCAATTATAGCTGATAATGAATAATGACAAGAAATTTGAATAACTATATTGAAATGATAAACTATATACCAACAATAGCCATAGTAAATGATAATGATACTACTACTATAATAATGAATAAGAAAGTGATAATAGTAATAGCAATCTACTACAACTAACTACTCCCTCATTCCTCCGACTACTATAATAATGAAATAACAGTAATATGTTAATATAGAACAATAATAATCACAATACTAATGAACCAAAAATTGATTTAATAGTAATGAAATACTGATAATGACAACAACAGTGATTCAGAATGATGATGAATGAGATAATAATACCATAATAATAATAATAATCATGAAAATAATAATAATAATAATAATAATATACTAATAACAACTGATAAATGAAACGATAATCATAACATATTAATTATGAAACTACAACAAGAATGATAATAATAATACAATAATACTAAATATAAGCAGAATCAGAAGAATGGTAATCATGACAACATAATGATAACAATGACGTTGAAAATAATGATAATAATAATCTGAGCTAAATAGGAAAAATATTGAGAAATATGATGATGACGACGATGATAGTGATCCGCTTATACTAATCATAAGAAAACAAACAATACAAATAGACACCACTACTACTGCCACTACAATAATGATAATAATAATATGATAAATGATAATAATAATAAACAACAATGATCCAATGATAATGATGATATTTGCCTCGCATAGAATCCGTCTGCAAGCGACTCCTACAGATTCACTCATACCATAATATATCGAAGCTTCGAACCTTCCTAATGACCGTTTTTGTTTAACACAAAGACTCGTCCCCCTTGTGCACAACCTTCCTACGCTTAGAACTGGGTTGATCCTGCAAGCCCTTTAAGCCTGTCCCGTCATCGCTTTACGGAGAACATCCTCACTTTTGGAGGCCCAGCCACCTTACTCGCTCCATCAAAGACCGTAAAAGCATCGAATATAACGGTATAATCGATACAATGTTTTAAGTCCGTTTATCATAAGAAGGTTTAATAAAACAATACTTATTCTCACTAAATGATCATATTGGGGACATCATGACCCTGGTAATATCAGCTCCCATACTTATTTGATTAGATAATGACAACAACCGCAAACAAAATCATGATTTGAATACGTAGAATAGTAATAATGCTAATATAATGTATAAAATATTAGGACAGTGACATTGCTACTGATAATAGTGACAATAGCAAATAATTATGATAAGTTAATAATAATAATATAACCATAATAACGATAATAAAAAAAATAATGATGATGAATGATGATAAGAATATAATAATATGCAAGCAGACACTCAGGCGGAGACTAAACAAACACTCAGGCAGACACTCAATCAAGACACTCAGCATAACCCTCAGGCTGACACCTAGAACAGACCACTCAAGGCATACACTCAAACATACAATCAAGCAGACATTCAAGCCGACCTCAATCAGACACTCAATCAGAGACACATCAGGCGGACACTCAAGCATACACTCAACAGCACTCAAACGACCTCAAGCATACACTCAAACAGACACTCAAGCCGACACTCAGGGGACCCTCAAGCAGACACTCAAGCAGACACTCATGCGGACACTCAAACAGCCACTCAAACAGACACTCAATCAGAACTCCGGCGGCACTCAAACAGAAACTCACACCACTCCAGCAGACACTCAAGGCGGACACTCAAGCAGACACCAAGGCAGACACTTCAAGAGACACTCAAAAAAAAAAAAGAAAAAAAAGGCCGACACTCAGGCATACCCTCAGTCAACACTCAAGCAGACACTCAACAGACACTCACAACAAAAAGGACACTCAAAGCAGAACTCAGCGACACCAGCAGACACTCAAAGCAGACACTCAAACAGCCACTCAAGCCAGACACTCAACAGACACTCAAGCCGACCTCAGGCGACCTCCGCAACACTCAAGCAACACTCAGGCTGACCTAGAACAGACACTCAAACATACACTCAGCAACCTCATCGGACACCAACAGACACTCAAACACACTCAAGCAGACACTCAAGCAGACACTCAGGCGGACACTTCAAGCATACACTCAACAGAAACACTCAAGCGACACTCAAGGAGACACTCAGCAGACCTCACACAGACATCACCTACACCAAGCAGACCTCAGGCAGACACTCGAAAACATACACTCGAACAGACACTCAAGCAGACAACTCAAATAGACACTCCACATACACTCAGCAGAACACTCAAGCAACACACAGGCAAGACCCGTCAAGCAAACACTCAAACCACACATCAAACAATACATTTCAAGCAGACACTCAGCAACACTGAAACCGACACTCAAACATAACCTTAAGCAGATACTCAAGCAAACACTCAGGCAGACCCCTCAGCAACACTCAGGCAGCACTTAAACAGACACTCAGGCCATACAACTCAAGCAAACACTCAGGCAGACACTCGAACATACACTCAAGCCAGACACTCTCAACATACACCAAAGCAGACACTCAAGCAGACACTCTCGAACAGACACTCAGACAGAAACACTCAAACATACACTCACGCAGCGTCAGGTGGACCACTCCAACATACACTCAAAACAGACCACTCAAACATACCCTCAATCAGACGACTCAGGCAGACCTCGAACCTAACCCCTCAAGCAGACACCGGCTGACACTCGAACAGACCTCAAAGCATACCCTCAAACATACACTCAACCTACAACGTCAAAGCAACACTCCGAACAGACACTCAGGCAGACACTCAAACATACACTCAGCAGACACTCAAGCAGACACTCGAACAGACACTCAAGCAGACATCAAAGCAGACACTCAAACCGACACTCAGCAGACACTCAGGCAGACACTCGAACAGACACTCAAGCAGACACTCGAAACAGACACACTCAGCAACACTCAAACATACACTCAACATACACTCAAGCAAACACTCGAACAGACACTCAGGCATACACTCCAAACATACACTCAAGCATACCCTCCAAGCAGACACTCGAACAGACACTCAAGCGACACTCAAAACCTCCACTCAAAGCGACACTCAGGCGACACTCAAGCAGACACTCAAGCAGACACGTCGACAGACACTCAAGCAGACACTCAAACTACACTTAAGCAGACACTCAGGCAGACACTCGAACAGACACGCAAGCAGACACCAAGCAGACACTCGACACAGACATCAACAGACACTCAAACATACACCTCCAACCTACACCTCAGCAGAACACGCGAACTACACTCAGCAACACTCAAACCGACCTCAAGCAGACATCAAGCAGACATCAAAGCAGACACTCGAACAACACTCAGCAGACACTCAAACAGACACTTCAACATACACTCAAGCAGACACTCAGCAGACACTCAGGCGGACAACTGCAAGCAGACACTCTCAACATACACTCAACACTACACTCAGGCGACCCTCAAGCAACACTCAGCAGACACTCAAGCAGTACCACTCAGTCGGAACACTCAAAACAGACACTAAACAGACACTCAGGCGGACACTCAAGCAGACACTCAAGCAGACACTCATGCGGACAACGAGAACAGACACTCAAGCCATAGACACTCAAAACATACATCAAGCAGACATTCAAGCATAACACTCAAGCAGACAATCAAGCATACACCAGGCGGCACTCAAGCAGACCTCAGTCAGACACTCAAACAGACACTCAAGCCGAACACTCAAACCGACACTCAAGCAGACACTCATGCGGACACTCACGCAACACTCAAGCGACACTCAGGCGGACACTCAAAAGCACTCAAACAGACACTCAAGCAGACCTCAGGCGGACACTCAAACCGACACTCAAACAACACTCAAGCAGACCTCAGGAGCGGACACTCAAGCAGACATCAAGCAGACACCAAGCAGACACTCAAGAAGCAGACACTCAGGCAACACTCAGGCGACACTCCAGCAAGACACTCAAACAGACACTCAAGACCGACCACTCAAGCATACCCTCAGCGCGACACTCAAGCAGACCTCACGCAGACACTCAAACAGACAACTCCAGCAGACACTCAAACAGACCACTCAAAGCAACCTCAGGCGACACTCAAGCCAGACCTCAAGCAGACACTCAGCAGGGCGGACCAGAACCGACACTCAACTACACTCAAGCAGACACTCAGGGCGGACACTCAAACAGACACTAAACACACTCAACAGGACACTCACGCAGACACTCAGGCGTACACTCAAGCAGACACTCAGCAGACACTCAAGCAGACACTCAAGGAGACACTCAAGCAGATAACCCTCCAACAAGACACTAACTACACTCAAGCATACACTCAGGCCAGAACACTCAAACAGACCACTCGAACAGACACTCAAGCAGACACTACACTCAAAGACACTACTCAACACCCTCAAGCATACACTCAAGCAAACACACAGGCAGACACTCAAGCAAACACTCAAGCAGACACTCAACTACATTCAAGCGACACGCTCAAGCAGACACTGAACAGACACTACTCAAACATACACCTTAAGCAGATACTCAAAAGCAACACGCAGGCAGACACTCAAGCAACACACTCAAGGCGACACTTAAACAGACACTCAGGCAATACCACTTCAAAGCACCAACCTCAGGCAGACACTCGAACAGACACTCAATCAGACACTCAAACATACACTCAAGCGACACTCAAGCAGACCCTTCGAACAGACACTCAACCGAACACTCAAACATACCCTCCAAGCAGACAGTCGGTGGACACTCAAGCAGACCATCAAACCTACACTCAAACATACACTGCAAGCAAACACTCAGGCAGAAACTCGAACAGACAACTCAAGCAGACACTCAGGCGACACTCGAACGACACTTCAAGCTACACCAAACATACCCTCAAACATACAACACTGAAGCAGACACTCGAACAGTACACTCAGGCAGACACTCAAACTACACTCCAAAGCAGACCTCAAGCAGAACATGCTCGAACAGAAACACTCAAGCCGACATCAAACAGAACACTCAACATATACACTCAGCAGACACTCAGGCAGACACTCGCAACGACCTCAACAGACACTAGAACAACAGACACCTCAGCAGACACTCAAAAACAATACACTCAAACTACACTCACGCGGACACTCGAACAAGACACTCGGCAGACACTCAACATACCTCAACAGACACTCAAGCAGACACTCGAACAGACACTCAAGCGACACTCAAACAAACACTCAAGCAGTACACTCCAGCAGACACTCAGCTGGTACACGCAAACTCAAGCAGACACTCAAGCAGACACTCGGAACATACACTCAAGCAACAACCAAACATACACTTAAGCAGACCTCAGGCAGACCCTCGAAAACAGACACTCAAGCCACACTCAGCAGACACTCGAACAGACATCAAGCGACACGCAAACTACACTCAAACATACACTCAAGCAACACTCGAACAGACACTCAGGGGCAGACACTCAAACATACACTCAGCAACACCACATACACTCGAACAGACACTCAAGCAGACACTCAACACAGACACTCAAACTACACTCAAGCATACATCAGCAGACCTCATGCGGACACTCAAGCCAGACACTCAAACAGACACTCAAACGACACTCAGGCGGACACGCACGCAGACACTCAAGCAGACACATCAAGCAACCTCAGGCGGACACTCAAACAGACACTCAAACAGACACTCCAGGCGGACACTCAAGCAGACACCAAGCAGACACTCAGGCGGACACTAGAACAGACACTCAAGCCGACACTTCAAACATACAATAATCAGACCTTCAAGCAGACACTCAAGCAGACCACTCAAGCCCTACACTCAGGGGCGGACACTCAGCAGACACTCAGCAGGACCACTCAAACAGACACTCAGCAGACACTCAACAGAACACTCAGCAGACCTCAGCAGGCGGACACTCAAGCAGACAATCCAAGCAGACACTCAGGCGGACACTCACACAGACAACTCAACATACACTCAAAGCGACACTCAGGCGGACAACTCAACAGACACGTCCCAACACACCCTCACTCAAGCAGAGACACTCAGCGGACCCTCAAGCAGACACTCAAGCATACACTCAAGCAGACACTCAAGCATACACTCAGAGACACTCAGGCAGACAACCAGCGACACTCAACATACACTAAACAGGACCTCAAAGCAGACAACTCAGGCGGACACTCAAGCAGACACTACTCAAGCAGACACTCAACAACACTCAAGAGGACACTCAAACATACACTCAACATACACTCAGCGGGACCACTCAAGCCGCCACTCCAGCATAACACTCACGGCGACACTAGAACGACCACTCAAACATCCACACTTCAAGCAGACACTGCATGCTGGACACTCAAACGACACTCAAACACACTCAAGCAGACCTCAAGCAGACACTCCTCCGGCGGACCCTCAAGCAGACACTCAAGCAAGACCTCAATCAGAACTCAAGGAGACACTCAGCAGACACCAAACAGACACCCAAATACACTCAAAGCCTAGACACTCACACGAACCACTCAAACGTACACTTCGAACAGAACACTCAAGCAGAACACTCAAATTACACTCAAACATACACTCAACATACACTCAAGCAACACCAGGCCAACACTCAAGCCAACACTCAAACAGACACTCAAACATACATTCAGCAGACACTCAAGCAGACACTGAACAGACACTCAAACATCCACTTAAGCAGATACTCAAGCAAACACTCAGGCAGACACTCAAGCAAAACTCAGGAGACACTTAAACGCCACCAGGCATACACTCGCAACACTCAGGCCAGACACTCGAACAGACACTCAAGCAGACTACTGTGGCAATTACGTTACACGTCAATGGGCGTAGCACTTTGTGTGCAGCGGGACACTTGCGGGTAACGTAACACGGGTGGGGGGGGCGTTCACACAGACAACTCAAAATCCACTCAAGCAGACAGTGCAGGTGGACACTCAAGCAGACAGCTCCAAACAGACACTCAGGTGCGTCGCGTTCCGCAAGCAGAACCCGCAGCAGGGCAGACACCGAACAGACACTCAGCAGACACTCAGCGACACTCGACACAGACCTCAAGCGACACTCCAAACATACACTCAAACATACACTCAAGCAGACACTCGAACAGACCCTCAGGGCCACTCAAACTACCCAGCAGACACCTCAAGCAGACACTCGAACAGCAGACACTCAGCAGACATCAAACAGACACACTCAACCATACCTCAAGCCAGACACTCAGGCAGACACTCGAACAGACACTGTGGCGACGGGGGAGCAGACACTCTGAAGGCAGAGCACTCAATCAGGGTTACGCGGGGTCGAGCGAGTTCATGGCCTCAATGGGCTTGGCGGGTTCATCTTTCGATAGCGGAGTGGGCGCGCTGTGTGGTCTCAACAGACACTCAGGCAGACACTCAACATACACTCAAGCAGACACTCAAGAGACCTCGAACAGACACTCAGCAGACACTCAAACATACAACTCAAGCAGACCCCAAGCGACACTCAGGCGGACACTCGCAGACACTCAAGCAAGACACTCGACGACACTCAGCAGACACTCAACATACACTTAAGCAGACAACACTCAGGCAAGACACTCGAACAGACACTCAACAGACACTCAATCAACACTCGAACAGACACTCAAGCAGACACTCCAAACATACACTCAAACATACACTCAAGCAGACACTCTCGAACAGACACTCAGGCAGACACTCAAACATACAATCAAGCAGACACTCAGCATACACTCGAACCAGAACACTCAAGCAGACACTCCACAACAGACCCTCAAACAACACTCAAAGCCAAGACACTCCAGCATACACTAGGCGGACAACTCAAGCAACACTCAACAGACCCTCAAACAGACACTCAGGCGGACCCTCAAGCAGAGACACTCAAGCATACACTCAAGCATACACCTCAAGGCGGACACTAAACAACCTCAAACATACACTCAGGCGACACTCAACAGACTCAAGCAGACACTCAAACAGACACCAAAGCAGACACTCAAACAGACACTCAACTCAGCAACACGCAGATGCGGACACTCCATACTACACTCAAGCAGACACTCAGGCCGAGACACTCAAACATACACACTCAAACACCCACTCAAGCAACACTCAAGCATACACTCAGTGCGGAACACTCAAGCAGACACTCAAGCAGAACACTCAAACGCATTCAAGCAGACAGTCAAACAGACACCCAACACGACACTCAAGCAGAACACTCAGGCAGAATACTCAGCAGACACTCAAGCAGACACTCCAAGCAGCACTCAAGCAACACTCTGAAGACACTCAAGCAACACTCAAGCAGAACTCGAACATAACCACTCAAACATACATCCAGCAACCCTCTTCAAGCCGAAGCAGACACTCAAACAACACTCAAACAACACTCCGGCGGACCTCAACAGACACTCAAGCAGACACCAAGCAGACACTCAGGCGGACACTCAAACAACACTCAAACAGACACTCATGCGGACACTCCTCCCAGCAGACACTCAAGCAGACACTCTCAAACAGACACTCAGAGACACTCAAAAGCCACTCAATCAGACACTCAGGCGGACACTCAACATAACACCAATCAGACACTCCGGCGTGACACTCAAACAGACACTCAACCACACACTCAATCAGACACTCACGCAACACCAGGCGGACACTCAAGCCTACACTCAAGCAGACCTCAAACAACCATTCAGCAGACACTCAAACATACACCCAAACAACACTCAGCAGAACACTCAGGCATATTACTCACTCAGACACTCAAGCAGACAACTCAATCCACACTCAAGCAGACCCTCAGGAAGACACTCAAGCAGACACTCAAGCAACACTTCTCGAACAGAACACTCTCAAACATCAATAAAGCAACCCTCAAGAGACACTCATCCAGACACTCAGTAAGACACTCAAGCAGACACTCCACGCAGGCACTCGAACATACACTCAAACATTACACTCAAGCAGCTACCTCAGGGCGGACACTAGAACAGACACTCCAACATACACTCAAGCAACACTCAAGATCAGACACTCGGCAGGACAACCTCAATCATACACTCACGCAGACACTCAGGCGGACACTAGAAAACAGACACTCAAACATCACTCACGCAGACACTCAAGCAACCCTCCGGCATACACTCAAACATACACTCAAGCAGGGACACTCAGGCGGACCTAGAACCGACCCTCAGCAGACACTCAATCGACACGTCAGGCGACACTCGAACAGACCACTCAAGCAGACACTCAAGCAGACACTCAGCGGGACACTAGAACTAACACTCCAGCAGACACTCATTCGGACACTCAGGCAGACACTCAGGCAGACACTCAACCGACACTCCAACATACACTTCAACAGACATCAAACAGAACACTCAGGCGGACACTCAAGGAGACCTCAAGCAGACACTCAGGCGGACACTCAAGCAAGACACTCACAGGACACTCAGGCGTACACTCAAGCAGAACACGTCAGCAGACACCTCCACCTACACTCAGCAGACACTCGAACAGACACTTCCAATCAGACACCCAAACAGGCACTCAAGCAGACACTCAAACCTACACTCAAGCAGACACCCAAACAGACACTCAAGCAGACACGCAATCAAAACCCAACAGACACTCAACGCAGACACGCAGGCAGACACTCAGGCGGGCACTCAGGCAGACCTCAAGCATACACTCAGCAACAACTCAAGCAACACTCAGGCGACACTCAAAGCAGACACTCAAGCAGACCTCAGGCGGACCTAGAACCGCACTCAAACATACACTCAAGCAGACACCTCAGGCGGACACTCAAACAGACCCTCAAACAACACACTCAAGCAGACACTCAAGCAGACACGCTCAGGTGGACACTCAAGCAGACACTCAAGCAACCACTCAAGCAGACACTCAAGCAGACACTCACGCAACACCCAAACAGACAACTTCACGCAGAACACTAGGCAGAAATACTCAAGTCAGCCACTCAGCAGGTACACTCAGAGACACCAAGCAGACACTCAAGCCACACCTCGACAGCCACCAAAACATACAATCAATCAGACCCACTCCAGCAGACCTCAATCAGACTCTCAGGAAACACTCAAGCAACACTACTCAATCAGAGACACTCGAACAACCTTCAAACATTACACTCAAGCAGATCCCTCAAGCAGACACTCAGCGTACGCCTAGAACAGACACTCAAACATACCTCAAAGCATACACTCAAGCAGACACCGGGCAAACACCGCAAGCAGACACTCAAGCAGACACTCATCGGACACTAGAACAGACACTCCAAACATACACTCAGCAAGACACTCACAGACACTCTTCAGACACTCAAAGAATCAAACAACACTCAAGCAGACACTCAGGCGGAGAACTAGAACAACACTCAATCATAACTCATGCGGACACTCGAACAACACTCCAAGCAGACCACTCAACATACACTTCAGGCGGACACTAGAACGACACTCAGCAGACACTCAGTCTGAAAACACTCATTCATACACTCAGCAGACACTCAAGCAGACACTCAAATATACACTCAGTAGACACTCAAACAGACACTCAGCGGACACCAAGCAGAAAACCAAGCAACACTCATGATGCGGACACTCAAGCATACCACTACTCGGCGGCACTCACGCCATACACTCAAGCAGACACTTCAAACATACACTCACGCAGACACTCAAGCAGACACTCGAACAGACCTCAGCAGACACCACAGACACTCCGCAGACACTCAAACATACACTCAGCAGACACCCAAACAGACACTCAAGCGACAACCAAACAGACACTCAAGCAGACACTCAGGCTGGACACTAGAACAGACACTCCAGTCAGACACCAACAGACACTCAAGCATACACCCAAACAGACACTCAAGCCGACACGCAACATACACTCAGGCAGACACTCCACACAGACACTTCCAGCAACCTCAAGCAGACACCCAAACAGACCTCAAGCAGACACTCAGGCGGGACACTAGAACGACACTCGTCAGAACACACAAGCCACACCAGGCCGGACACTCAGCAGACACTCAAACAGATACTCAAGCAACACTCCGGCGGACTAGAACAGACATCTCAAGCAGACACTCAGCGGACACTCCAGCAGACACATTCAAAACATACAACTCAGCAGACACTCAGGCGGACACTCAAGTCAACACTCAGCCTACCTCAAACATACTCAGCAAGACACCCAACAGACACTCAGCAACACTCAAGCAGACACCCCCCAAACCGACACTCAGCAGACACTCAAGCAGACACGCGATCAACACTCAAATAACCTCAAGCAACACTCAGGCAGACACTAGAAACAGACACTCAAGCAACACCCAAACAGACACTCCAGCAGACACTCCCAAGCAGAACACTCACACAGACCTCTCACAGGCGGACACTAGAACAGACACTCAGGCAGACACACAAGCAGACACTCAAGCAGACACTCAGGCGGACACTCAAGCAGATACCAAGAGTCTACACTCTCGAACAGACACTCAAGCAGACAATGAAACAGAACATCAAACATACACAAGCGACACTACAAGCTGACACTCAAGCCAGACACTCGAACAGACACCAACAGAGACTCCAACCGACACTCAGGTCTGACACTCAGCGACACTCAAGCAGACACTCGAAACAGACACTCAAGCAGACACTCGAACAGACACTCAAGTCAGACACTCAACTACACTCACCGACACTCAAACAGACCACTCAAGCCATACACCCAACAGACACTCCAAAGCAGACACTCAAGCAGACATCGACGCACTCAAACAACACTCGGCGTACACTCAAGCAGACATCGACAGACACTCAAGCAGACACTCGAACAGACACTCCAGCAGCACCCAAACAACACTCAAACAGACCCTCCAGGCGCGACACTCAAGCAGACCCTCGACAGACACTCAAGCAGACACTCAAGCAGACACTAGAAAACACTCCAGTCCATAAATGTGCTTTGTTGACGTGTTGCGTGTGTGATTGTTGTGTGGTTTGCGCATCTGTGTGTGTGTGTGGTGTTTATATGTTTGTGTGTGTCTGTTGTGTGTGGTTTTGTATTTGTTGTGTGTGTTTTGTGTGCGTGTTGTGCGTAAGTGTGTTTGTGTGTGTTTGTATGTCTGTGTGACGTGTATTTCTACGTGTTGTGTGCTTGTCTGCTGTGTGTGTTTGTTTTGTTTGTGTGTGCTTGTGTTTGTGTGAGTAGTTGTATCTGTGTGTGCGTGTTTGTGTTTGTTGTGCATGTGTGTTTTATATGTGTGTCCGTGTTTTATGTGTGTGTGTTTCGTGTGTTTGTGTGTGTGGTTGTGTGTGTGTTGTTGTGTCTGTGTGAGTATGTGTGTATTGTTTGTGTGTGTGCGTGTTTGTGTGGTGTGTTTGTAGTGTGTGTTCTGTTGTGTTCTCTGTTTATGTTTTTTGTGTGTGTGGCGTTTTTTTGTGTGTGTTTCTTTGTGTTTTTTTTTGCTTGGTTTGCTTATGTGTTTTTTTTTTGATGTGTGTGTGTTTGTGTGTGTGGTTTTTGCGTATGTGTGTTTTTTTGTGTGTTTGCGTATGTGTGTTTTTTGTTGTGTGTTTGTTTTGTGTTGTGAGTGCGTGTTTGCGTGAGTGTGTATGTGTGTGTGTGTGTACGTTGTGTGTGTTGTGTTTTTGCGTATGTTTATGTGTGTGTGTGTTTTGTTTTGTATGTGTGTGTGTTTGTTGTGTGTGTGTTTGTGTGCGTATGTTTTTGTGCGTGTATATGAGAATAATAGTAAATATATTATTATCCATTACCATTACTATGATCATGATCATAATCATCATTATCATTATTATATTGTTTATTTCTTCGTTACTATTTTTCATTAATTATTGTTATATTAACAGTGTCATCGTCGTCAGCAGTAGTAGTATTCATATTATAATGTTATTATAATAGTAGTAGTCCGTAAGATGTAGTTATTATTATCATTCTCATCATCACCATTATTCATTGTAAGGAATATCATTATTAATATTATCATTTTGTTGTTTTTCCGGTTGTTGGTTTTGTTGTTTTCATTATTATTATCATTAATTATTTCTCGGTATCGTTTATTAGTTATTCATCTTTATTGTTTTTTGTTTTATTATATAATTCACTAATATCATCATATTCGGCAATTAACTATTATTACTACATTATTGATATTATCAGTTTTTGTTAAGTATTATTCATTATTGTTCATCATATATCACCATTTTCTGTATTACCATTTTAACTATCATAATATATTACTACATTAGTAATCCTCCTCCTTCCTCCTCATTATCTCCTCATCCTCATCATCATCGTCAATCGTCAATCAGTCAGTCGGGTCATCAGTCATCGCTCATCATAATAGTCATGAAATAACAGAAATAAGGATAATAATAATCAGAGAATAACACACAACGATAATAATAATAAATAATTAATAATATTAATATCCATTAATGACGATATCATGTAATCAATCATCATATCACCAATCTCATCATCATAATATAGTGATAACAAAGTAAAAAGATTGATAATGCCACAATGAATTATTGTTGCTGGTTTTAATGGTTATAATTAATTGGCAATTATTTTTTCTTGATTATTATGATTATTGTGGCTATTATCCTTGCTATTAATTCATTATTATGAATATGGTTAATTTATTATCTTTACCATTTATAATATGTCATCATCATTTTATTATCATATCTTTTATCACTTTTCATTATTATCCTTCCTCATTATCCTTATTATCATCACTAATTACAATGTATTATCATATTATTTACATTATATTATTATTATTAGTATTCTTCATTATCTTATCATTATATTATCATTATTAATTATTCATTATTATTATTATTATTATTCTTAATTTATCATGTCATCCCATTATTACTATTATTATCATTTTCATCATTTAGTTATCCATCAATTTTATTATTATCATTATTATTGATATATTACATTTTTATATCTATACTACTAATTACTATTATTATATTTAATACTACTATTCCGATTATTTTAATTTATACTACTATTACTATTATTCTTTTATACTATCTATTACTTATGATTATCATTATCAATTCTTTATTTAAACTATTATTGTCATTAATTATCATTACAATCATTATTATTACCATTATTATTATCGCTATTCTTATAATTATTGTCGATGTTAATTATTATATTGAATTGAACCCTTGTCTGTTCAAAAAGGCTCGTCGTAG